ACTGGCAAACTCTGGCAATTTGCCAACCACCTTATCGATTATTCACCAGTTTCGCTCCAATGCGAAAGTGGTGAATAATCGATAAGGGCCACGGTAGAACTCTTCAAACCAACAACTTTATGAACTAGTAACAGTCGTTTCGATATTGTCGTGGCGCGAGATGTCTTATGAAATGCAAAATAAGTCCGATACCATTGAGGCTGAACAAACTTGTTTTGTTCCAGAGTTGCAAGAGCCAACACTTATGGCCGGTGGAACTAAGGATACGGTCAGTGCCCACAGTTTTGATTCAGATTCGGACATTGAGATGCAGGTATGTCTCAAGCTTATAGGGGAAGCTAACCGTCTACGGGTGGAAATTCTAGCGGAAATTTCGAAACACCTCCGTCTAGGCGATGGGAGGCTTGAATAAATACAGGCCGTAGTAGAGAGAAGCATAGCATGCATACAGAAGAAATTAAAGCGACTAAAGAGCATTGCAGAGAGTCGCAGCAGTGTCATAGCCGCATAAGATGTAGTGAAACAGTAAGCGGACGGGAACGGAGAAGAGGAGCTAGCTAGTAATTCAGAGCAACTCCTAATGAACGGGAAAACCCTACAGAGGGTGGCACGTAGGCTGAACTGCGCTGAAGTTAAATGCTATGTAAAAGGGCTAATGAGGAAAGAGTAATAAAACCTCGGAAAATACAGTTTCGTCGTTACAGGAGCTGTGTAACAAAAAGGACGACGAGATAAGAGCTCTAAAGGAAGAGCTTGAAAACCAAAGACGCCGAGTAGCTGAACTGGAAGCCTCTGGTAGTCGTGAAGAACACGCAGGTTGCCATTCCACGATATGTCAATGATAACCAAGAAGAAAGTGCAAAATTGCAGACTGGCTGGCACACGCTGGTGAGCAAGGATTGTCGGCACGTGAGCTCCAACGATTTGTCGAGCAGGACCTCCACACCGCGAGGTACGTCCGATAGTTCAGTAGAGGTCAAATAACGAGAGTGAAAGGGTGAGAAGGAAACATCATAGGACGTCTAGATTAAGAACCCAAGATACAATGGGCGAATATTTGAGATACGTGGCCTTGCCTGATGTTTCGCCGTACTCAGGGAAAGAAAAGGAGTACTCATTCGAAAACTTTGTTGAAGCGTTTGAGTTGAAATATCCCGGCCAATATTGGATGATAAAGAACGGTGCGCTCTGTTCAAATCAAAGTTGATGGGTAAGGCAAGAGCGCAGTATGAAGTGCGAGCCAAAACTTAAAAGCGCAACTTTCACACACTACTGGATGCAATGAGAGATGTGCAAGGAAGAGACGCGCAATAGGAAAATCATGGCACTAGGTGAACTGAAACGTCTTCGAAAACCATAAACACAGTCGGTAGGGGATTTTTGCGTAGAGTTGGAGCGACTGACTCGTAGAGCCTATCTTGAGTTGGAGGAAAGGACATTATTAGGCATCCGCGCTGATCACCTATACGACCAGCTCTACTGGGATACTGGGACGAATCTTGTCATACACAAGAGGCGCAAGAAGGGCCTGGTAGCGACATGTATGAAAGGCTGAAGGATGCCGCAATGAGAGTCGAAAGGAGGCATTTGGCTCTCGAAAATCGCGCAAGGACTAAGCCTTCATCAAGCCCATGGACGCAGAAGAAAGGGAAAAGCTTTCAGATGAGACACCCAAAAGAAGTCCATGTGGAACAGAAGCTGGAAAGCAGTAAAGCTGATCTGGAAAAAAAAACAGAGCGACCAAAGAAGCACAGGGTATGAGGTGCTTTAAGTGCAAAAGGACAGGACACAAGGCACGTGAGTGCAAAAGCATTGCCAGCGTTAGCTCTGGTGCTGCTAAAGGCACGTGAGTGCAGAAGCATTGCCAGCGGTAGCTCTGGTACTGCTATGTCACTGTCGGCACGAGTTCGCGAAGCAGGGTGCAGTGCCGCCTGTACCAAGCAGACAAGGTCATGTAGGAAGCTTCTCCCAACCATTGTCGGCAAGCGATCAACAATCGATGTGACAATTTTGGGTAGGAATAGGAAGGCGCTTCTTGATACAGGATCAGAAGTGACTATCCTTCCAGCAAATGTGCTTCAGGAGGCAATGATGGAATCGACATTGATACAGCTGTCAAGGAAGTTCCACTACCCAGGTCATTGAAAATTACAGATGCCTCGGGGAGGGTTATTGATTTCTTGACCGCAGTGGAGTTAGATGTTGTGAATAGTAGTGACAACACCAAAATTCTGGTGCAAATGTTGGTGTCCCAAGGCAAAGAGGACTTGGTCATACTGGGAACCAACGCTCAGTACTGAACTCGAAAGACAAGAGGATCCCAAACGGTCTATGCAAAATAGACCTTGATTGAGTGACAAAGGTAACGGTCGTCAACACCAGCGATGAGCCCATGGTGATGCGAAAAGGTCATGAGGAAGGCGAGTGGGAAAAAGCCTACTGGGATGAACTCCGCTTCAGAGACACTCCGGCAGACATACTGTGCAGTCAAGGCAAGTCGATGTCTGTGAAGAAAAGGTTGGATACTTTGTTCGAGTTGTTAATCAGAAACAGGAATGGAAGAGTGCTAAGATGCAAGAGATTGTACAAAATAACAATGATGTTTTTGCAGTAGAAGACAGCGAGTTGACGCAAACCTCTTTGGTAACTCACGATGTCGACACGGGCAACACCTAATCAATCCGCCAAAAGACCCGACCAGTTCCTATCGGTGCCCGTGTTTAGTTCAAGGATATTCTGAGCAGTCTGTTACAAAGAGGAATCATTGTATGTACAGTCAACATCTGAATAGGCGTCGCCGTTAGTGCTTGTGCGGGAGGAGGACGGTAGAAGTCGTTTAAGTATAGACTGTCGCCAACTAAACAAATGCACAAAGCATGATGCCTACCCATTCCCAGGAATTGACGCCATGCTGCAAAGTCTGCAGGGCAAACGGTATTTCTCGACGCTGAACATGACCTCGAGATATTGGCAAATACCATTGACTGCCGCAGCAAAGGAAAAGAGCGCTTTCATAACTCCAGAGAGCTTTTTTCAATTTACTGTTCTTCCATTCGGATTAACCACGTCGCCCGCCGTTTTCCAACGTCTAATGGACACGGTGCTACGCGAACAGAAAAATAAGGAGGTATTCGTCTATATTGGCGATATCCTTATTGCTACTGCGTCGGAAAGTAGACACTATGAAGTCCTACAGATGGTGATAGATGCATTGTTGAAGGCTTACTTGCGACTTAGGCCTCAAAAATGTGTACTTCTTCGAGAAAGCGTCGAATTTTTGGGGTCACAGGATCGACGCCAAGGGAGTACATGTGGACCCTGATAAGGTCGTAAAGATAGAAGAGTTTCCGAAGCTCACTAATATAGTGGAGCTCCGCACGTTTCTCGGTATGTGCAGCTACTACCTGAAATTTGTGCTGGACTTTCCAAAAATAGCAGGTCCTTTGTTCGAGCTGACAAGGATTAAAATGTCGTGGAATTAGGATACTTCTCATGATGAAGCTTTTAGTAAGCTTAAAGAGGTACTGTCAACCACTCCGGTTCTGGCGCAGCCGAATGTGGAATGAGCACAGTCAGGGAAGAATCCCTACATAATCTACATGGATGCATCCAATCTGGGCGTAGGGGCAGTGCTTCGCCAGCAAGGAGTGGATGAGTTTCTCCATCCAATATACTTTGCGTCAAAACGGTTGTCAAGAGCCGAGAGAAACTACCATGTTACCGACCTTGAAGCACTTGCACTAGTATTTGCCCTAAAGCAATTCCATTTTTTCATCTACGGCATGCAAGTGGTCGCAAGAACGGATCACGCACCCTTGACTGCCATATTTCGGAGGGCCAACGTATCAGCTCGCATACTCAGATGGGCTTTAGAAGTTCAGCAGTATCGCTTATCGATCGAGTATGTAAAAGGGAAAACAAACCCTGTGGCTGATGCACTATCTCGTGGCATACCCCGTGGCATACCCCATTCTGCAACGTGGACGGTTGATCTCTCATCGATGGATCCCAACTCTACCCGCAATGTTTTCAAAGAAACGAAATCGCCCTCTGCTGCGACTGCTACACCTTCAAATTCCCTCTTTATTACTGGCAACAGTCTACTGCTTCTCAACAGAATCCAGAAAATACTGGCTGAAAAAGCTCCTGAGGCTATTCCTCTGCTTGAGGAGTTCGTGAGTTCTTTACCTTCTCTGTCACAAGAAATTGTTGAGACTGAAAAACGTAAGCGTTCCATGGTTCTATTCGGCGTTCCTGAAGCTGATAGGAACCTCCCCCCTTCACAACGTCAGGCTTGCACTGTGTCCTTCGTGACCGGGTTGCTTGATGTCCTGAACATCGAAGCTCATCCAGTTGAATTGTACAGGATGGGAGCGATGATGCAGGATAAACCTAGGCCAATAAAATGCGTTTCTTCGTCTCGACGGTATTTATTTGAGGCATTGTCGAATGCGCGAAAGTTGCGCAATATAACGACCTATAAGGACGTGTATATCCGCAAATCAATGAGTCGAGAGGAGAGACAAAAGGAGAGCAATCTGAGACTACAAGCGCGCGAGTTGAACAAAAAGGAACCCCAAGGTAAGCGTACCTACGTTGTTTATAGAGGCATGCTTGTCAAAGTCTCTGATATTCCGCAGATCAAGAAAAAAGATGTTTTTGAGGCATCTTTTCCGGAAATAGCTCCTCCCCCGCAAGTCTTTTGACTACAAAATGTGTGCTCTTGAACGCGCGAAGCCTTGTAAATAAAATTTCACATCTACATTGCCTCGTAAGTGCATTGAAGCCTCATATTGTGTTTGTTACAGAATCTTGGCTAACCAAAAACATTGCAAATTCCGAAATTTGTTCTGATTTTCCATACTCCATCCTCAGGAAAGATAGGTCCATTAGAAAGGGCGGTGGAGTCTGTGTTCTGGTACATAGCCTAGTATCCTACGAAAATATCGTTTTCGATGATAAGCGTCTAAAATCTGACGTCATTTGTTTTGACACCCTCGTGCCGATCAGACACCGTTTCATACTTGTGTACAGGCCCCCAAATTCCTCTGTCTCACAAGATGAAGAGCTCATTACTGTTCTGTTTGATCTCGCTTCAGCGGTGACCTCCCCCACCACAATCTTAGGGGACCTGAACCTAAGCATTGATTGGTGCAATCGGACAGGCGTCTCGGCCCCAGAGAATAGATTCCTATCGATTTTCGATGCTCTCTCGCTGATCCAATACGTTGACTTCCCTACCCGGCAGGAGAAAACACTGGATGTTGTGCTTTCGCCCCCGGGAACCATTACCCACACTAGACCCCTACCACCTTTGTCGAGCTCTGACCACACTATGGTATCCTTTAACTTGTCTAGCATACATAAGAAAGAGGAACGGAGCATTTCAAGAGACTATCGCCATATGAATAAAGAGTGCATATCGTATCATCTTAGCAAGATCAGCTGGCTGGAGACCTTTTCAGATTATAGTAACACCAGGCGGTAACGCACGCCACTGCGTGCACTAGGGGCTCTAGCAATGAGGGACGGAGCCACATGAGCTCCTGATCCTCATTATAGACCTTTATCATCTGAGCCTCTTCCAGGACACTTCTGTAGCGACCATCATTTTTTTGGGATGTGAAAAGGGGCTGTGTGTGGCCATGAATAGTACTCCGATGTATCCAAACCAAATACCTCTGCAGTCCATGTAGTCGGAGAAGCCCTGTGTAGTTCGGGTATCTCCTAGTTGTACACCTATGTAGTCAGTGTTAGTGTGAAGATGTATAAATTTTTGATATAAGCCCCCTCCCTCTTTGCAAACCCCACCCACTTAAGACTTCGAAGCACATTACTTTCATGACCTTCAGACACCTTTTTCCAGCGTTCTAAAACGCACCTGAGAAGACTTAATGATTTTGATGTAAGATTCGCCCACTTCAGTGCCAATCCCGCCCAGTTCTGGGATCTGACCACATCTGTTCTACTATATCTTACCACTTGTTCCCGCATCTCAGAACGTTTCTGAATAAAGTTATAAATTTTTAATCTAAGCCCCGCCCACTTTAGTGCCAACCACGCCCACTTCTGGGATTTGACCACATTTGCTATTTTACACCTTACCACTTTTTT